CAACAAAGCGGAGGAACTCGGAGCACACGTTGAGAGAGCAGGGACTGCCATCGACGATAATTCAGTTAGAAATGGCAGCGGATAAACTCGAAGTTCCTGAAGCCCACACGTTCCTCCTGTATTCTGCGAGCGGAGAAATACAAACAGCTAGTGTGAGTTTCTCATCCCGACGAGCGCGCGGGCTCGATAGGAATCGACGAGGCCCCCGAGTCCCGACGCGTATACTTCACATAGCCGCAGAGCAATCCGTGATACACTCCCTTCCAAGTGAATTTATCATTTCAGTTCCCTTTCATCGACAACATATACTGCAAAATCAACATCGTTCATGGGAAGGACTGGCTCTTGTCGAGCGTGAGTATGGTAGCCTGAGGGCTTTGAGCTCTGAGGCATAGCACTATCGCTCTTGGAAGAAAATCTCCATGAGTGATCATCGCTCTCGTCCAACGCCGGCGCCGCTCAATTACAGGGCAGCGAAGAGGACCTGACCCACGTGACGAAGAAAACCCGGGGATCGCAAAATCACTTCGTTTTCAATCATCCATTCGACGTGACCTATAAATTCACGAATCCATTCGGATGTAAGCTCCAGATCGACCCTAATCGTACTAATACATGAATTCGAAGTAACTGAGTTGACAGATATTCCCGCGCATCCTGATCTCTTTCGTCTTCCCCAGGGCCGCAATTGATTTTGAGCGTGTATGGGCTCGACACTCTCGGAAACGATGTAGTCCGAGGCTACGGAACTGTCCATCTACCGTGCATTCCTGGAAGGTTTCTACTCTATGATTTTCAATATCGTGCTCTCCGACGAACTTCATTTTTCCGCGGCTGGCGTGAGCCGATCATTTGACCGCTGTCAGATTCGAACGATATTCCCATTGCAGACACTCCCTGCGTGTGCCGCTGCAAGCTCCGGAGTCATCGTCAGTCATCCAGAGTTTGAGCGCCTTGATAACGGGTAAACGTCCGGAGCTCGTCGAAGCTAGAGTATTCGCAGATGAATCGACTCGACAGCGTAAGTTTTTGCGGGCAAGCGAGATGTTTCAGCAGACGTCGAATATT